TACTCAGTTTCATATAATAATCGACGGCCGTTTACATCTCTCAAATTTCTACTAAGCGTCCCGTTATCTTTATATTCAATAATGAAAAATTTAAGATTTTGACTCGCTCATGGTCAGTGAAAAACGAAAACAACACGACGATACAAAAAATTGGGAAATATGGATTTCCGAGTTTTATTAACGGAAATTTTATTACGTTTTTGGATCCTCAAGAGAAATTCCTGAACCAACGTTAAATTATTGGCTCTTTTCCAACAAAAGCATTGATGGGTTTCTGTAAAAGACCAGTTGGTTTCTTTAGAGGACACCGAGGGCATCAATTTTCGTTCGACTTTTTGAGTGAACAATCTTTTGAATACCACTTTGGAAAAAGATGCATAAATGACAGAATTTTTCTATAGGTCAGATTCTCAAATTGTTCACCAATATTCAAATAAGTATCCCTTCCAATTTTTGTTTTTTCGAAATGTCGAAACAATTGAAATTTCTCACATATTTCCGCTTTAAATGATTCCTCTTTGTAAAGTGGCTATAATCGAAAGAAAAGAAAATGAGTACATATATCCAATGGTAGATCACATGTTATTCAGATAAAGGCTGAACTAATTGAGGATGGGGATTTAAACAAAAGGTTGGATTATCGCTATTGATGCTCTCAACAAGATTCTCATCTAAATTAATATGCGCGAAAATACAATAAGCTTTGAAGGTACTCTTTCTTGATACCACCAAATTGGCAGTACATTTAAATGGAGCTTGGGTTCAAGGCTCAGGTCGTGAAATGCTACTCATTGAAACAAATGAAATGACGGATTTAGATCAACTGACTCGATTGAAACAGAATATTCTGCTTGATTTCATGGCAAAATTTTATTGCAAGCTTTTAATAGAAGCCGTCAGATTAGACATTGATGATGTGAATATTTTTTCGAGCGTTTTCAAAACAACCTACTGATGAACTTACGCAGATTACTAAATAATTATTGGAAATAGGCAATTACCTCTTATTATTAATATCAATGTTTTAATAACATATTTTATTTGCATAAAAAGTTAATAAAGTCAAAAATATCGATGTCTACCCTGTTGAAAAATTTTTACAGTTTATTTATCACCATTGAGAGAACATTTCATAAAATTTGAAATGGAGGACGACTAGGGAAGCTTATTCGGCAATAATTTTAGTTGGAGGTTTAAGTGAATTAAAGTATTTACAAAAAAAAAAAGACAAACATAGTTCGCCTATTTCCTATTTGCCAACATTGAATTCAAATTCTGAGTGCTTTAAACCAACTTCGTGCAGGTATCTTCAGTTTGCCGATATCATACAAGGAATTCTAGAATTTATTTTTGTGCCTATCGTAGATTTCTCACAAAATTTAATGTCCTTTTGAAAGAGATCTATGTTTATGTCTTTAAAGATGTTATATTCTCTAGAGATCCAATGACACCTACGCTTGTTTCCTAAATAACATATTTAGAAATGAGAACGGAAACACAGATGTCTTACTTCATTAAAGCACGTATCGCGTTTATCGAGTATTTGATACAATATACGCTGATTATATTGAAAGAGCTTGAACCACCATCTGACATACTTAATCGAGACGTTACATTGGTTGATCATTTAGAAAGCATCAGAAGAGTTCCAAACTTTCCAATCGCTAGTTGTTTGGGTAAACCTTACCAATACACTATAATCACACTCAAATTATAGGTAGTTTAAAAGAAGTAATCATCCCAAATATAGAGAAGTAACGTGGGGTTAATTGCAGATGATGTTATACCGCCTTCACATGTACTCCGAAGGCATCCAACATTTGGCAAACCGAATGTTCCTATTTTAGTCAAACAATTTCACTTTCTTGTAATGAATGGAGAAACGGTCAGACTGAAACGTTTAAGCTAAGGTTTTCTTTTATTGTGAGTGCTGTGAAGCCGATTCAGCTCTTAATTCTTTCAAAGGATATTCACGCAAATCTGATATAGTATGGTATCAAATGTTTGTATAGTGTGTATAGGTTTTTAATGTATACATTCCATACATACATTAATAAAAAGAATCAGGTTTGCGTAATACCTGGCAAATCCGACTAGTTCAACTACGTTCATATTTAATCACATCTTGTACTTTTAAAATTGTATTAATCGGCTAATAAAAGAACTACTGAAACAGTTATTAGTTTACTTTTTATATAGCAAATGTTATAGGTACTGAAGCATGCCCCCTGCGTAGTTTACGCAAATTTTAGAAAGGAAGAATTGCTAACGCTTCGATCAATCAAGCGTGGCGTTATTATAGACATGAGGTAGGCATTTTTGAATGGCTATTATTATTTTTCTCTAAATATTCCTGACCAAATATTTTCTGTGTTTATCAAGTTAATGGAGCCAGAGGCTGAATGCATGAATTTCCTGTCATTCAAGGTGTACGTCCCTCTACTTTGATTGAATATCACATTTCTTCACAACAGATCCTCACTAATTCTGAATGCTATGCTCTTCTCACCCATTATATTCGACCTATCGAAACTAGTAGAAATGCTAGAGAATTTTTCGAAGCCTCACCTTTTTTGATAAAGACGAATTTATTATTCCGATAGTTGGCATTGATTATGAATAGTATAAGTTTATTTTTATCTAAAAAAAAAATTGTGCAATTAGGCTAAAACAATATTAGTTAAATTTTTATCCTACATAAAATATAGCATAATAATATTTTAATTTTCAAAGCGAATTTTGTTATATTTTTGTAAAGTGATTACACATGAGAAAATGAAGTTGGTCGGCTAAGTAAAAAAAGACACGATGAATTTGCCAAGTGCACAAATTATTTCCAAATTAAATCTTATTTTGTTGCCTTAAAAAGTCGCTTGAATTGCGATCCAGATTTATTGACAAGTAAAAATATATATTTAGTAAAAAATCATGTTTTCCCAAATATTCGATGCCAGAGAAAATAATTACTAAAATTCTATTTGGCCACGAACAATACGAAATTATCTTTAATATTTTTTAAAAATTATGCTTCTACACTCCCATAAATGAAAGAATTTATATGTTAAAGGAGAAAAATAAGCTAAGAAATATGATTAATGATTAATGAAAATTAAGAAGTCTACAAAGAGTGATTAATTCCTTATTAGCATTAGCAACTTGAATGTTATGATAATCTTTTTGATAAATTGCTTGTTTATGGATATAAACTTTCTTTTTAGTTGCGATCGTAGGTTATTACATCATTTTATTATAAATTTGATTTGAGAACGGAATGATCAAGGAAAAAAAAAAAACCTTGCGAACCTATTAAGTAAAAAAGTATTATAAAAAAAAAATTTGATTGATGCAATGGACGCTATGTTTCCGCTCAAGCTTTCAATTTACTGCTGCGGTAAAGGAATTGTAAAAATTTTAAAATAAAATTGTTTCCTTACAAATTGAGTCAACAACCTATTAGTTAATCAATGAAGTTCGTGTAACTTGGATAGTGATTTTTGCTGGCAACAAACCCATATTATTGAAACCTATGTTGTGAAACGTCGAAAAATTTTTTTCTTACCTGTTTACAATAACCTAATTCAATAGATTTCCTCGTGGTCATACATTTATTTTGGAAATTTATGGAATGTAGACACTTAAAAGAAAAAAATTTAGATAATGAAAAAAATATTTCAGTTGCGTCCCTTATCCCCAAAATTATGAACGAAGTGTTCGAAAATAAATTTATCTTTATCTTCTTTTTTAACTCAAATTCATGTCACACGTTAAGATAGGAAGAGAGTCGAAGAACTAAATGTTGCTATTTTGTAAAGTTTGAATGTTGAGTGCCAATGGACAGGGTGAGTATCTTACTGAGTTATTTTGTCGAGTCATTGTATATCCGAAGTTACGCTGCTACTAGGTTTAAAATGTCTGGGAAATAAAAGCTCTTCGTGGCCACGGTTTCAGCCGTGAACGGTTCTTCCCTGTTTCCGAAGTCCCAAATGCTCTGCGCTGGGG